CTGAATACTGACTATTTCTTAAACTGAACACTAATACTATCACTATTTTATAAACTAAACATTAACTATTTCTTAAACTGAACACTAATACTATCACTATTTTATAAACTAAACATTAACTATTTCTTAAACCGAACACTATTACTATCACTAATTCGTAAACAAGTACTATCACCATTTCGTAAATTAAACACTAACTATTTCTTAAACAGAACACTGATACTATCGCTATTTCGTAAACAAAACACTAACTATTTCTTAAATCAAACACTAGTATTATCACTATTTCCTAAACTGAAAACTGACTATTTCTTAAACTGAACACTAATATTATCACTATTTCGTAAACTGAACATTGACTATTTTTTAAACTAAACACTAATATTATCACTATTTTGTAAACTAAACACTAACTATTTCTTAAATTGAACACTAGTACTATCACTATTTCATCAACCATGGCAGAGAAAACAATGGACAATAGACAAAGCTCAACTGGAAAATGCACACTAGCATCTATGGTTTTGGGGGCCAAGAAAATAGTGGCCAATGGTTTGAAAAATAAACTTGGAAAATGTTTGTCATCAACATTAACTAGATACAAATGATTAGTTGTGTTTTTTGATTAGTTGTTATTCTGATTAATGGATGAGCTGTGAACATTCTAACAATGAATACCCAAATAATTATTCTATACACGAGAATGTCGTCAAAAGTATTATAACGGTCGAATCTCTTCAGGAAGTGTCATCCAAAACAATTAGTCATTTAAGTTTGAAGAGAGCAAGTCTTTCTTTAATTTTAGGAAAGATGAGAGCCTATTCCATTCTCACAAGAAGTTCAAATAGGAAATCATCAGTTAAGATTATTATGGGGGATAGTTTATTACATTTTTGTTGAAAATGGTGAGAGCGGGAACATGAGGGGAGCATTGAAAGTACTAACTATCATCATTAAAGCTCCTAAACATGAAATAAAGAAAGAGGAAAGAGGCACGTGGGGCTATGAGGCTAGGGTTTGAAGCTATTAAAGAAAATAATAATAAAAGGTGTGGATTGCTGCAATATATATGGTAAGTTTACAGAATTTGCAATGCACGCGCTCTTATGAGGTTATTTTTTGTATTTTATTATTTTCTTTTTTTTGTTTTTATCATTAAATAAAATTATAGGGTGATTTTTGGTTAAAATGCAAACTTTTAAAGCCCTATGATCATCTTCAACCCTTGGGCTAAAAGTCAAAATTTTTAGCTTGGAAAATTTAGCTTTTAGCCCAGAAACAGCTTTTCTGTTCTAACCATTCTGACCTAAAATTTTAGCCCAAGATTATTAAAGAATGAACTTAGGTTTTTTTTTTTTCTTAAACGAACTTCAAAAAAAAAAATTATGTAGACTATTGTAAATTAATTTTATGAACATTTTAATTTAAAAATATTTAAATTCCGAAAAATATTGAAAAATCACTAAATCTTTTCACATAGCAAGCCTTCAACTTTCACCAAACTTTCAACTTTCCTCTTTTATATAAACACAGGTCCAATATCAGTTGATCACACAATCTTTCAACCTTTAATCATCCTCTATATTCACCAATCTTTCAACTTTCAAAGTGTTTTTGTTTCCTAAAAATCCTCAATATCTCATCAATGGATAATAGAAGAAGGCGTAACAGGGTAATGCAGATGGCACAATACTAAGCAAGGCTTGACATTGAGGATGCTGAAATCTAGCCATCGTGGTTATGTCACGAGACGTTCATTTGTGCAACATGATAGAGAAGAGTGTCATGATCGAATGATGAAGGATTATTTCATCAAGCGTCCGAGATTTCCTGCTCATGATTTTCAAAGGCGGTTTCGGGTGAGGAGAGAGCTTTTTGAAAGCATATTGAACGCAGTTGCAATCATGACCACTACTTTGCGAGGAAGATAGATGTCGTAGGCCAACAAAGTTTATCACCTCATCAGAAGCTCACATCTGCATTTTGAATGCTAGCTAATGGGTGCTCTGCAAACTCAACTGACGAGTATTGCCGACTTGCAGAGACTACTGCTATTGAGAACCTGAAGTGTTTATGTCAGGCAATTCAAGCCATATATGGAGCCACATACCTCTGCAAGCCAAATTGTGAAGACTTGAAAAGGCTTCTACGCAAGGTAGACAAAAAAGGCTTCCCTGGCATGATAGGAAGTCTCGATTGTATGCATTGGGAGTGGAAGAATTGTCTTACTGCTTGGGCTAGCCAATTTAAGGGTCGTCATAACAAGCTAACCATCATGCTCAAGGCTGTGGCATCTTACGACACATGGATTTGGCATGCATTCTTCGACGCTTCTAGATCAAACAATGATATCAACATTCTTTGGTCTTCTCCTCTATTCGATGATGCTGTCAATAGATAGGCATCAGAATTTTGGTACAAGGTAAATGGTAATAGGTATGAGCTAGGTTACTACATAACTGATGGTATTTATCCTAGTTGGTCTACCTTTGTCAAAAGTTTTTCTCATCCCGATAGTGCAAAGAAGTAATTATTTTCACAGAGGCAAGAATCTTACAAGAAGGATGTGGAAAGAGCGTTTGGGATCCTACAAGCTCGATGAGCCATTGCAAGAGTCTTCAAATAAAGATGTGGATGATGAATAGAGGTCTTCAGTATGCCAAAGTTGTGCAGACTCTCTAACAATGGCCCATCGAGCTTATATGATCCCAAACGCTCTTTCCACATCCTTCTTATAAGACTCTTGTTTCTGCGAAAATAATTTCTTCTTTGCACTAACGGGATGAGAAAAACTTTTAACAAAGGTAGACCAACTAGGATAAATACCATCAGTTAGGTAGTGACCTATCTTATACCTATTACCATTTACCTTGTACAGAAATTCTGGTGCCCATCCATTGACAACATCATCGAACAGAGAAGAAAACCAAAGAACATTGATATCATTGTTTGATCCAAGAGCGCTAAAGAATGCATGCCAAATCCATGTGTCGTAAGATGCGCACAGCCTTGAGCACGATAGTTGGCTTGTTATGACGGCCGTTGAATTGGTCAGCCCAAGCAGTAGGTTAATTTTTCCACTCCCAATGCATACAATCGAGACTTCTTATCATGCCAGGGAAGCCTCTTTTGTCTGCCTTGCGTAGAAGCCTCTTCTCTTCACAATTTGGCTTGTGAAGGTATGTGGCTCCATATATGCTTGAATTGTCTGACAGAAGCGCTTCAGGTTCTCAATAACAGTAGTCTCTGCAAGTCGGCAATACTCATCAGTTGAGTCTACAGAGCACCCATTAGCTAGCATCCGAAATGCAGATGTGAGTTTCTGATGAGATGATAGACTTTGTCGACCTATGACATCTATCTTCCTCGCAAAGTAGTGGTCATGATTGATAACTGCATTCAATATGCTTTCAAAAAGCTCTCTCCTCATCCGAAATCGCCTCCGAAAATCATGAGCAGGAAATCTCGAACGCTTAATGAAATAATCTTTCATCATTCAGTCATGACACTCTTCTCTATCACGCTGCACAAATAAACATCTTGTGACAGAACCACAATGGCTAGATTCGGCATGCTACTCATATTGCATAAGCAAGTTTGCAAGTTCAACTTCGGCTTTGATCATTTCAGCATCCTCAATGTCAAGCCTTGCTTGGTATTGTGCCATCTGTATTGCCCTGCTACGCATTCTTCTATCACCCATCAAGAGATATTGAAGATTTTTAGGAAACAAAAACACTTTTAAAGTTGAAAGATTGGTGAATATAGAGGATGAAGGTTGAAGATTGTGTGATCAACCGATATTGAACTTGTGTTTATATAGAGGATGAAAATTTTGGTGAAAGTTGAAAGTTTGGTGAAAGTTGAACAGTTGGTGAAAGTTGAAAATTTGATGAAAGTTGAAGGCTTGCTTTGTGGAAAGATTTAGTAATTTTTCAATATTTATCAGAATTTAAATATTTTTAGATTAAAATGTTCATAAAATTAATTTACGATAATCTACATAATTTTTTTTTTTAAAAAGTTAATTCAAGAAAAAAATTAGCCTAAGTTCATTCTTTAATAATCCATGACTAAAATTTTAGGCCATAAAGGTTGAAGCAAAAAAATTATTTCTAAGTTAAAAACTAAATTTTCCAGACTAAAAAATTTAGGCCCTGTTTGGCACACCGTATAAAACACCGGATAGTACTAATAATACGGTGTACGGTGTTTGGTGCCGTTTGGATTAAATAAGCACCGGATTAAATAATCCTGGCCCACCTTTTTTACCCGGTGTATACCTGCTTCCTAATCCCATCCAATTTCTCCGTATAACTTAGTCGGCCTCCTGCTCGTTCTCGCTCTCCGCTCGTTCTCACTCTCGCTCTCTGCTCCTTCTCACTCTCGCTCTCCGCTCTTTCTGCCATCGCCTACAACTGGCAGGTGAGGAACCTGGGAACTTTGGATCAGGAGATTGTGAAGGTAGCAAGAAATTTGGACTTAGAATTGCAGGGCTTTACCCCGAAGGGAACCCTTCCAGAAATTCTCAGAGGCCAAGGCTGAGCCCAGGCCAGTGAGGGGGTTTGGCATTCTTTTGCACTCGGGGAAGGAGAAGAAGAAGAGAGAGAGGGAAGGAGTTTGGGGGTGCGGCGGAGAGATCTGGGTTTCATTATTTGGGATTCTTTTGTTCTGTAGTCGGGGAAGAAGAAGGGAGAGAGGGAGGGAGTTTGGGGGTGCGGCGGAGAGATATGGGTTTCATTTTATTTTTTTTTAAGTTTAATTTTATTTTAAGTTTTCTTCCTATCCGATATAATATCAAACACTGTATAAATAATACGGTTATTAATCCGATACTGCACCAAACGCCCGACTAATTTAGTTAGTACTGTCCGATGAGTATTTATCATATCCGACAGATATAGTCAGTACAGTCCGAGCTGTCAAACGGGACCTTAGTTTTTAGCCAAGGATAGAGATGGTCTACATAAAGGAAAGCGCCTCCTCTTTAGAAGTCGCGTCATCATCGGAGCGTCCAAGTCCAATCACAACCGTCCATTAGAAACTTCAGAATCTCCACCGAGAGCCGCAATCCAGTGGGAAACCCTAGCTTCCCAGTTGAATCAAAATTAAAAAACACGCCCACCTCTTTAGCTTTGACAGTCGCGAGTCCTCAGAAATTAGGGTTAGGGCTTCAGATTTGGGAAGAAGAACATGGGCAAGAGGGAGAGGCAAAAGGCCAAGCTTGATCGGGACGAAGTGAGCGAAGAAGAACGAGAATTAACTAATCAAAACCCTTCGAAATCTGCTGCCGAACAGAGCAGCAGCGACGACGATGAGGCCAACGAAGATATCAGCCTCAAAATCGTCGAGAAAGCTTTGTTAATGCGCGCGGCGAAGTTGGCATCCGATAACAACGCCGCCGTGTCGGGCGAGCCGAGTGGCGGTTTGGTTGAACTCCCATCTTCGTCTTCTTCGCAGGAAGCTGAAGTTGCGGCTGCAGGTTTGGAGACTAAGAAGGTAAGGAGGAAGCAGAGGAAGAAGAATATTAAGAAGATGAAGATTGAAGATCAAGCTGTGAGTGATTTTCGTCTTTTACTCTGTTTGTTTCTAGGAAAACTTGATTGTTTGAGGTATTCCATAATATTCTTCATCGGCATTAATCTTAATTATTTTCACTATACAATTTTGTTAATTGTGATTAAAGAAATAATGGGATTGAATTGGAGGGTTTGATTTTAAACCTGAGAAGGTGCTTAGACTTTATTGCTTAATTTTGTTTTCGGTTTCCTCTCATTTTCTGGCGTAAACGGATTAATCTTTGCTTGACAAGAGGGTGAAAGAGCTGTTTACGTATGACTGTTTTGCATCCCGTTATTTGTTTAGGTTGTTGCAAAAGAGGAAGAGAAGATAGAGGAAGCTAATGCTGTAGATTTGGCTGAGGCTAAGCAACTGGAAAATGTTGAGTTTACCGACAATGTTGTGCTGCGGAAACTTCTTGTGAGTTCAAATGTTTGCTTTGAAATGCCCCTTCGAAAATGAAAATCTATATGAAGAACTTAGAATGGTGCCTATCTTATTTCTATTATATCAGCGGGGACCAAGGTATTTTGATCCTCCAGATTGTAGCTGGGGAGCATGCTTTAACTGTGGCGAAGAAGGTCATGCGGCAGTGAATTGTACCGTAGCTAAGCGAAAGAAGCCGTGCTTTGTTTGTGGCAGTTTGGAGCACAATGCAAAACACTGCAGAAAGGTTAGTTGGAAGAGAAACACAATTTTAAGTTGACTCTTTTACTTTCTGAAAATAATCGTCAAAATAATCTGGAGAATTAGTTGAATTGACCCCATTCTCTAAGTCTTAATTACTACATGTTTATTAGTCCGGAGGGTGGTGGGGCTTCAGCCACTTGTATTATGTTGACATGCAAGATTTAAATTGATTCCTTCTCTTACTTGTTTTTCGCTTTTCTGGAAGGATTGAGAACTTTCTTTTGGCAATGAATAGTTATTCTTCCCTTGATTTCTGAGAAGGATTAAGTGCTTGTTATTTTAGAAGTAGGTTGTTGGTACACATACTCTCTGCTGTTTCCAGATCATGTTTGATTAGAAAGATCCATAAATAATAAAATAGGGTTTTCCTGTTTTCTTAATGCTAGATAATGTTGAGATAGTGCCAGTCCAAATCTCATGAGTTGTTCACCAGTTTCTGCATGCCAAGTTCTTTTGTGTCATTTTATAAAGATTGTTCAATATTTCACCTGTTTTTCTTCTTAGTTTGCCCTGTTCTCATTGAGTGCTCTATCAGAGGGTTCTTATGCATCCTTTATTTTTGTGGGGCCTCTTATGGTACCTGATTTAAATCTCAATAGGGACAAGATTGCTTTATCTGCAAAAAAGGTGGACACCATGCTAAAGACTGTCCAGAAAAGCAGAATGGTGGCTTATTGAAATCCCAAATATGTCTAAAATGTGGAGATTCTGGACATGATATGTTCTCATGCAGGAATGATTATTCAACTGATGATCTTAAGGTATCGTGAGATTTCTAAGAGTATGTTCATATGATTTATGATATGATATTGATAATAATTATATTGTTAAGCATTATGTTCAAGAGTGGTTTCTATATTTCTTTTCATGAATCAGGAAATCCAATGCTATGTCTGCAAGAGATTTGGCCATTTATGTTGTGTCAAGTATGTTGACACTAGTCCATGGGAAGTTTCCTGTTACAAATGTGGTTCAATGGGGCATACTGGTATGGTAAGTCTTGTTAAATGTTTCAAATGTTCTTTAAACTGTTTTTGCGTTTTATCTTAGTGGTTGGATGGAAAGGTGCATTAGAGGCTGCATAGATGCAAACAAGGCCCATTGTCTTGGAAGCTGCATATATATGCAAGCAAGGTCTATCGTTTTGCAATAGGGATATATTGTCCAACTCATAAACTTAGTGCTAAATTGGTCCTTTGACTCATCTAATGAATGAGAAGCACATGCTCATGTAAGGACCTTTTTCAAAGAAAAGTTTTAGATGAATGCACATGATTTGTGCTGTGAAGTGGTTTCACTGGTTTTCTTAAATATGAAAAACATCATATCATAATTTTTATTTGTTTAGGGAGTGATGTGATTTCAACAGTATGGTTTAGAAGACGATGCTTGTTGTTTTAAAAGCCTTTTGTTTATAGATGAATTCTAGAAGAAACTAAGTTTTGTTCCTGGTCTTTAAATTTTTTTGTTTTTCATCTACTTTTTTCTATCCATTTTTACTTCTTTGATTTGTCTTTCTGTTGTTAAAACTGGATATGCAATGCCTATGCATCAAATACGCTCTTTAGTTTCATACATATATCTCAGTCTGATGTTTAGTTTTTTTATTACTCATGCTTGAAATGTTGGTGAATCTAAATTTTATCAACAATAAAAATTATAATGTATTGTTATGGTTATTTTATTTCTTGCTACTTGCTTCAAGAATAGATTACATCAGATCATGTATTAGTTTGTGTTTTTTCATTTGACAATTCTTTACATGCACCAATCTCATTGAACATATTTATCAATTATATCTTGTAATTTATTGGGAGATGTTATGTTACACAATCATATTCTGTTATTAAAAATTGTAGTTTCCTGCCTTTGTCCAGAAGAGGGTTCGCATTCTATTTTTCTGCTTCCATTTCACCGAAACGCCCTTCCTTTTTTTACTTTTGTCTAAGAAAGGGGATTCTGTACATGCAGGCATGTGTAAGCTTACGTGGTGGGGAAACCACTGGTTTTGGAACGCCTCGGTTATGCTACAAGTGTGGTGAAGGTGGTCATATTGCTCGTGAATGCGCAAGTTTGGTCAATGTAACTCTCAGTGTACACCTCCCAGAATTAGTTTTTAGTGAAATTTTCTTCACTGTCGATTCATAGTGTTAGTTTACTCGTGAAAAAACTAACTGGTGTGTTTTGTGAAACTTGTAGGTTCACAAAAAAATTGGGGAATTACCTAATTTTTCTACTCCAGTTTTGAAACGTCATAAGGAAAGGAGAGACCACATGGGATTCAAGTCTGCTCCTCATGACCTAAATAAGGCCCATGAAAGGAAACAGACCCAATTTGAAGAAAGAGTTTTTACAACACCACAAAAGGCAAAACATAGAGGTGGTTGGATAATGGATGATCCAGGGGACTTCTCCCCTAGAAAAGGCAAAAAGAACAATTGGAAGTCTCCGGCAACACCATCTAGTTGGGGTCGTAGGGTTCCTAGTTTGACTGCAGGTGGTCATGCTTCAAGTTCTGGATCCTCTAAAAAGATTTGGAATGACTCCGGAAGCCCAATCTCACAAGGGTCGTCAAAGGCTTTTCAGCACAGATATTCTGCATCGAGGTTTAACAACTCTAATGGTGGTGGATTTAGAAGAAATTATGATTGGTCAGGCAATGAATATAATGGGCTTTACTAAACCCAATGGAAGGAAGCGGCCACAAAAGGGTTCGAAGTTCCATTTGTGAGTCCATAAGCCCTTTCCTGTTGTTGTAAGTATTTTCTTTTTCCTTTCCAGTGATAATGATTATTCTTCATTTCCCTAGATGTTGAGAAGTATTGTATGCTTTGGTCAAATTAAATTTTTTTTTTTAATGCTCTTTAAAAAATTTCAAGTTTTTTTTAATGCTATTTAAAATGTAGTGACCACATACCTCTTTATACAAGTTTCTTTATTTTTCATAGTTTATTTTATCAAGAAACCTTTTGTATTCTTTTAGTCCTTAATTTTTTTCTGATATGTTAATTATGCTACCCTGTTACCAGTTTATTCCTGAAATTGTCACACTAGGTTTATGGTTAGGGAGAGTGTGTGGGCAAGGATGTGAGAATGTGTTGTGTTAACATAGATAGACGGAAAATGTCAAAATATAAACAGAAGGATGTGCTATAGCAGTCTATGATGTGATGTTTTATATAGATGGACTAATGCAAGTTTATTTCGTTTTACTGGATGCTTGCACAGAACCACAATGGTAGATGAAAAGTAAAACTGGATGATCACATAATGTGACAAGAATCCGTGGAACTGGAAAATTCTTTTGCTAAACATTAGTTTTTGTCAAAAGTAAGTTCTGTTGGTTTTGAATGAAATGCATTAGACCCTTTCTGTGAGATTTTGGGAGACCAAGTTTTGAATGAATTAAGTTTAAGCAGATGTTTGACAGCATGGTGTATTAGAACTGTAGTTTACGGATTTGCAAATACTTGTCACATTAATGCTCATGAAGGGCACTTCTAATCCCGTTTATCTAACGTGTTGTGGTCCATTGGTTACTAATTGGCCTCAATCCCTTGGGACTTGGAAATCCCTCACCCAAACATACATCTAATGACAATTTTATATGCATGATTAGTCGGTAAACTGAATAAAGTTGTCTCACTTTGTTTTTGTTTTTGTTCCTCTTCAAGTGTGTTTGTACGATGCTTGTGAGCTTAACCCCACCTTAAGTTCTTCAATTTTCATTAGAATGTTCAACCAAATGATATATCTGTCTTTGCTGCCCTCAAAAGTTTGAAATTTAATTTGGTAAGAGTCTGAAATAGTACGTTTTTATTATGCTGTAATTTTCCAAATGTTGTCATTAATCTAATTAGATGAGGACCAGCATTGCTGCCTTCCCCTACCTACTGGTTGATTCAGCCTTCTTTAAATGGTAGATGAAAAAAAATCACCGGAGGTGCTGGCGGGCAAGGGCAGCACTGCAAGCATTACGTCCCTTGTCAGGGGGCTTCTCAGTTAAGACTCGTAGATGTTTCATTGTAACAATCGTTTCTTGAAAAGGCAATATGTCCTCGAGGCTGAGAGTAGCAAATTTTTTGTTTGTTATATGAACATTATAGCTTTGATCCAATTGCTTTCACTAGAGCAGAGCTCTATGGATTTGGATCCCATCCGGATCCTTACATTCTATCTGTTCATCATATATCGTGCGGTCGGAAATTATTTTTTATTTAAAGTTAAACACAGACACTACCTAAGGAAAGTTGGTTGCACGATGTACGATGAATGAATAGGATGTACGATGAATGAATAGGATGTAAGGATCATAGGATCTAGATCCGAGCTCTATATATCTTCTTCCCCTAGATTTGCAAGCTTCCACCGGATAGAATGAATTTGAACACCAATAAATTTTAAGGAAAACTAATGAAAATAGCTTGAAAACTTTGTGTTTTAACGATAAAGACAAAATAAAGGGTAAAATGTATAGTACCAAAATTGATTTTTTAGTGTAAAAATGTGAACAGTACCGAAAGTTTTTCGTAAAAGTTTCTTAAATTTTAACTCAGTAAAGTGAATTTTAACTTCATGTTTTGCTTAAGAATGAATTTGAACACACCAACTTCTTCGTTCAATCAATTTAAAAGATGGAGAAGTAGGGTGCATCAATGCATGTCATACATTTACCTTGTTATACTTTCACCTTTTATGTATCACTAGCATTTGCACAACAGCACCAAAATAGCCTCCAAACTTACTTGCACGCATGTTATATAACTTCTCACTTTACATCACACGAAAATATTTTGTTTTAATAAGATTGATCAAGTTCAGGCAATGCTTGAACTTATTGGCTGACACAATCTTGGTAAGGAAACCTGCGACATTATCGTCTGTGTGAAACTTTTTCACCAAAATCTTCTTGGAGTCCACCCAATTCTGGATTCTCTAATATCTCACTTCAACGTGTTTTGATCTTCCACCCAATTCTGGATACTCTGCTTCTATGGTCAACAAAGTTGTAATTGGTAATAGTAGTGCTCTCCAGCTAAGTGGTCCTCTTGCGCATGTAAAGACATAACCCCCTACATGGTTGGCGTCAACATATCCCAACACCCTTGCATTTTTCCTTATGCTTTCCAAACATAATCCCTTGCTGCCTTAGCAACCTTCAAGTAATGCAGAACCCGCTTGACTGCATCCTAATGTTGTTTTCCTTGATTTGCCATGTACTTGGAAAGATGTTGATTGCCTGAGCTAGGTCGGGTCGTGTGCACACAATTTCATACATCATGCACCCCACAACATTAGCATAGGGCACCTTCTGTTGGAGCAATATTAGAAAATATGAAAACAACATTATAAATACCAATGGTAATAATTATAAAGAAACTCACAACATCAATTATGTACAAAATTAATATAAACAATTAGAGAGAGAGAGAGTAAGAAATATTGATAAAGTTGAAGATTGAGGCTTGCATAAATACAATGTCCTCAAGACAGATTTTCGTTCGTATTTTTGTGCTTGTAGTTATGTAGGTGTTCGTCTCCCAAGATTCAACAATCTATAATATGAAGTTGAAGCACTTCAATCTTCGAACTCTAGCAAGCTTCATAAATTCCGTACTCTCAAGACACGGTCCAGAATTTAACAAATAAAGAATGAGATAAATAGGGTGGAGAAATCCTATAACTCGAGTAATTAATTATCCTATTTTCTACTTTCTGAAGACTAAAAAAAAAAAAACTTGTCCTACGAATGAAGTGCTTGAGTTTATATACAACTCATGGCACCCTTTGGTAAATTATATGTGTCCATTGGTTTTAAACCATCTGACACCCCTTAGTTAGGGAATGCACCGACCCCTTTTTATTTGAAGAGGTATACTATATACACACTCTGAAAGCCACTTGATGGCACCAATTAAATTCAAACGACATAAACTTTCTAAAAAATACGGTTAACATATTTTCAATTATTAAAATTATATATATTATAATGTTTTATATTATAATATATAATTTCCAACAATCTCTCACATGAATGAAAAATTAGAAGAAATTGAGAGTGCAGGCAAACAAGAGATGCATTGAAAGATGTGCCTTTTGGACTTGAACCTACCTTAGTGAATACTTATAAGATTTACTTGGTGACGAAGTGGATGTGGAAGATCTTGAATTGTTCATTGTAGCAACAAATCGAAACAATAAGCAATACACATCACGAATCCTTATATATTACTGTTCATAAAGTTGTGTACATTTTGGTCATAAACAAATCCTTGATTCATGATAGTTTTAGAGAATTTAGCCATCTCATTCTTATAGAAGTGACCCACTTCTACTCTCACATAGGTGATCACTGTTTAAGAGTAGTCTTCTATTTTCCTCTTATTTTTAAGATATCACTGTCATTAAGTATAAATATACACTTGTAACTTTTGCAGAACAACACACTTCTTCCACCATAGGAATAAAGTGTACAGTGTATTTGAATCATGCCCAACCAGTTTGCCTATTGAACTTAGAACATGGATCTCCACTCAACTAAGTTAGGTTTCCGCCCGGCTGATTCATTAGTTATATTGGCTTTAGCCTCATTCCCCTCTATGATCAACTTACTCTCCAGTCAAACCTTTATTAATCGGTACTAATAGGTTAACAACTTATACTACATGGCTATCACAAAACTCATCCATGTTCGTTTGAGAGTAGTAGTTGTTTTCCATGAGAGTATGTTCATTCTCCCAACAACTCTATTTTGTTGTGGATTATTCTTTGAATGTGAAGTGTCTTGTGATGCTTTCCTGCTTACAGTAATCGGCAAACTCCTTACTTGTGTACTAACATATATTGTCATTTCTCAGGTACTTGATCTTTCTTCCAGTTTGATTTTCGATTTTTGTCTTCCATTCGTCGTAGCAATCTAGGGCGAGATCTCAGAAACGCTTAACAAAAGTCACAAGATCTTCCCCGTGCTTTTGACGTGTGTTTGTTGAGCTAAGTTGTCTTGACTTTTTCCTCATGTTGGAAATACTTTTTACAGAAATTGTCTACCAATTCTTCCTAGGTTAGGATAGAACCTGGCGCGAGGGTAATGTACTAAATGTAGGTACAGTCGGTTAAACTCTTCAAGAACTCCATGAGGCAAAGGTTGTAGTCACTAGCATGAGGACCCAAAGCGTCAATGAAACGACTTATATGTTCCTTAGGGCTACCTTTCTTCCCGTCAAATAGGACAAGGTTGAGAGTCTCGTATCCCATAGGGTATAGCATGTGGAGAAGGCTAATTGGATATGGTGGCTTAGGAACATACTTCCAGTCATCTGAACTCATGTGCAACTCATTTTCTCGCATGGCAATGACGTCTTCCTGAGTGACAAATGATGGTTGTTGGAACCAAATCTGCGCACCTACGTAAGCGGTAGTTGAACACAAATCCATGTAGTTTGGAATAACCTACAAAACAGTAAACAACCGTAAGCAAACCCTTGGCCCGGGGGGGGGGGAGGAAAGGGTGTGCCAGCCAAAAGCTTTTCGACAGTTAAGTTAATGAATGATTTGAGACTCAAGTAATAGGCAAGAGAATTCAAGTGTATAGATTGTGTTACCATAGATGAACCTTAGATATGTGTATTTATACACGTGGAAGAGATACCTTTTTAGGATAGAATCCTTATTCTAAGCCAGGAGAATTGTCACGCCCTGACCCACGAATAAAGACTATTCACAAGTTAGGGTATGAGCCATATCTTAACTATAGAAATAAATTCTACAACCAAGATATGGTGGAAAAATTAAAATTAAATTATTTGGAGCTGATTACACAATACATCTTATAACACTAGTTAACAACTTTACATACTAAACACTTGAGTTTACTACATAAAATTTATTGAATACGCAGCGGAAATAACTATAGTGTACAAATTAATTCACAACAAAAATTACAATAATTAAATTGTAACAATTCTTTCAAATGCATATATGCAAGTGAGATGGATGAATGTTCTCACATCCTCCTAATCATGTCAACACATACCTAAGGCACCCAAGCATGCACGTCCCATACCATACTTATACCACTTGGCTCCGAATACCTTAGAATATGAGTTAACTCCCATTCATCACTTAAACCCAATTTTTGTAATTAAATTCTCAATTTCCACTTTATTATCTAGGCAATTCCCCCGACGCCCAATTGTATATTCAAGCCATTCCCCCGACGTCTGATATATACAAGATTTCATTATTTTATAACCAACCAGTTGTATACCTCAAGCCCTTCCCCTGATGTTGGACGTATACAAGGTTCATTATTTTATATTCAAGGAAAACTTCAGCCCTTGACTATTCTCACAACTCAAACACTTTACACAAGTGAGCA